AAGAGAGAGATACCATTGGAGGACCCGGGCATTAGAGTCCTTCATTCAGAACATCCACTGGAGAGGAGCGTGATCCATCACTAATACAAAGGGGTTGTTACACAAATAGAACTTTAGAGCACCCACAACCCATTTGATGGCAAGGGCTTCCCGCTCAATCATGGAATATTTTCGTTCGGCATCTTGCAACTTCCGGCTGAGAAACAATATGAGGAACTCCTGGTTCTCCCTGGTTTGTGAGAGTATGACGCCGAGGCCAGTATCAGAGGGGTCTGTGTGAACCAAAAAGGTTTGGTGAAAATCAGGATTGTACAGCTGTGACGTCTGGTCCAGGGCCTTGCGCGCTTCCTCAAAGACTTGTTTTTTAGGCTGGGCCCCAGAGCAACTGGTTGGGACAATTCTTCTTCAAGCAAATAGTTAGGGGAGAGGTACGGGCAGCGTACTGGGGTAGGAAGCGGCTATAGTATCCGAGGAGTCCCAGGAACCATCGTAGCTGCTTCTTAGTCCAGGGTTGCGGGAAGGAGCAAATTTCTACTACCTTCTGAGGCAGGAGGCAAATCTGCCCCTGCCCCACTACAAATCCGAGCTAGCAAAGTTCTCAAAATCCAATGTGGCTCTTAGTGGGGTTAGCTGTAAGTCCAGCCTCCTTGAGCACTAGCAACACCTGACGGAGATGGAGTAAATGGGTTCCCCAATCAGGACTATATACTGTAATATTGTCAATGTAGGCAGCTGTGAATTCCTGACAGCCTGCTAAGACGGTATCCGCCAGGTGCTGGAAAGTAGCAGCCACCCCATGGAGCCCAAAGGGCATCCAAATGAAGTGGAATAACCCAGATGGCTTAGCAAAGGGGTTTTTCCCTTCAATCTTCTCTACGAACTGGCACCTGCCAGTAACCCTTGGTCAGGTCTAAGGTGGATAGCACCTGGGCACCCCGCCAACCGATCCAACAATAGGTCAGGATGAGGCATAGGATAGGCGTCAAACTTGGAAACTTTAGTAAGCTCCTGATAATCCACAGAAAATAAGGTGCTTCCATCCGGTTTTGGCACTAGGACGATTGGGCTTCGCCACTCGCTTTGCGAGGGATCTATGATGCCTAGAGTGAGCATCTTGGCCATCTCCCTTTTAACCTCCTCCCAAGCGGGCCCAAGGGAATCAGGCGCCAGCTAGCTCAGGCCACCTGGCCCTGTTCCGTGGGTATTACATGTTCTATACACTGAGTCTTCCCCGGCTTCTTTGAAAACATCCCCGGGAACTCCCTAATCAAACTAGTCACTTCGGCTTGCTGGGCAGCTGATAACCCTGAGTCGACCGTGGGAGTGTTCTCCGGTCCCTCCTTAAAGTCGGCCCACATGGGTAACGGTAGGGATAGGGAATCGTCACACCTCGGTAAGGCACAACTGTTGTCACTGTAATGTATTCAGATGCTGCCATGAATGCATTAGATGTAACGTGAAACATCTCATTGGGAAGCAATGTAAAGCTTCGTCTTGGACAGGGATTCAAGTCCAAGACAAATGCGTCCAATCACATTCAAGCAAGCTGGAAGCGGGAACGTGTGTGATTGGTCTTTATGCGATCAACCTGATAGGTTGTTATCTGTAAAGTAGGAGTGGCTATATTAGCCGGGAATGTTTAAATACCGAGCAGTTTCAATGGGCAAACTGTTCGGGCTATCAGATGTTGTACCGTGTTGGAGAAGTGATCGTGAAGAGGAATAAACTTGAGTTTTGGCTGAAATCACTCTCTGACTCTTTGTTAAGCTCAGGACTTAACAGTCACCCTGCCACTTCCATTCCTTCAGATAGTTGACGTGTAGTGGGTGGTCATCCTGAGGGTGAGGGCCACACTGGACTTCATAGGTGACCGGGCCAATGACCTTTCATATGGGGAAGGGCGCCTCCCACAGGGCACCCCCTGGCCTGGGGAAAGCCCGCCAATGGACCAACTCCAAGTCTCCCTCACTGAGGGTTCTCAGCCGCATCCCCCGGTTATATTATTGTTGCTATTCTTCCTGGGCCTTTTCCAAATTCCACCGAGCTGCCTGATGAGCCCACACAAGGCAATCCCTTAGCTGCTGACCATATTCCATGGAATCCACAGGGTCCAGGGGGAGGGTGTGACACTCATTGGCCCTTCACAAGTGCCAGGATCCCCTTTGGCTGACACCCAAAAACAAGCTCAAAGGGGCTGAATCCAGTAGAGGCTTGGGGGGTCACCCGTAATGCAAATAATAAGGGGTTGAGGAATAGATCCCACTGGTTCTGTTTATCGTCCACCAGTTTCCTTAAGGCGGTCTTCAGCATGCTGTTAAACCTCTCTATAAGCCCATCCATTTGAGGGTGGTATAGGGAGGTGAAGATCTGCTTCACTCAAGTGTCTTGCACAGCCGGCCTAGGAGATTGGCCTGGAATGAGGAGCCTTGAACGGACAACAGCTCCTGGGGAATTCCAAATTTGGAAAGCAGCCCAACACCTGCATAGTGCGGAGGGGAACAGCCTCAGGGAACCGGGTAGCATAGTCCAGCAGGACCAAGATGTACCGATGCCCTCAGGGGGTGCAGGGTAAGGGCCCCACAAAGTCCATGGTGACACGCCTAAAGGGTTCTTGAATAACAGATAGGGGCTGGAGCGGTGCTTTGTGAGGTACTGCATTCAAGTACTTCTGACACCGAGGACAAGACTGGCAGAACTGGCGTACCTCCTGGTACACTGAGGGCCAGAGGAACCACTCTAGTATGTGGGTCATTTTGACGGTTCCTTGGTGGCCCTCCCAGGAGTGGTCATCCACTAGCTTGAGGACCTGAGGGTGGTATCCCTCAGGAACTAGGAGTTGCTGGCGTTCTTGGGGGTCCTGAGGCCTCTTTGTGACTCGATACCAAATTGCATTGCGTTTCTCAAACAGGGGGTATCTCTGGGCAACCCTTTCATTCACCACAACTCCCTCACTTACTGCCACCCTCCGACGTGGCTCTTCCAAAGAGGGGTCCGACTGCTGGGCCCTCCTGGCGCAGGCCCCAAGGTCGCCCTCTACTGGAGGCCCTCAAGATGTGAGGAGCATCCCTGCCCCGTCTTGGCAGGCAGGTAATCTGGATCTCTCTGCTTCTGGGTGCGGGGGAAGGAGGCAGGAGGGGCTGCAGACTGCCCCCCTCCTGACACCGTGCTATACCAGACCACTGTGAGTCCCCCAACATGTGTGTACCACAGCTCTGTACATAATCTCTACCTTGAAGTTTTTAGAGGGTGCAGATCACATGTTGAGAGCCTAAGTACGATTCTTAATATTAGAAGAGATCTTAGAGAAATACGTCAAGAATTCAGACTTGAAGTTCTCTAAATCTTATGTAAATCCTGATTAACTGCTGCTTTTTTCTACAAGCACAGAAAAAAAACATCTAACTCAGCTTGTAAGTGCCCCTTTGATAAAAAGCAAACTACCCACACACATCTGTCTTCTCCGGGAAGCAGATGCTTACTCAGGGAACTGTGAAAGGCATATTACCAATGTGGTCTCTTAGTGCCATCTACTGTACAGTCTGCAAAGCATGAAAAGCCTTAGTTGTCTACTTATTAATTGCAGCATGCCTCATTACTCTCAGGTTGTCCCAGTAACTTCAATGGGACTACAATCTACTGCACACTTATTCAGCCATAAGCTCCGGTGAACTCACTGGGATCAACTACCAAGTGACAGCACGTTTTTTAAAATACAGAACTCATTGAGGCTTAGGAGCTAAGCAGGGTCAGCCATGGTCAGTACTTGGATAGGAGACCACCAAGGCAGGCTGGGGTTGCTGTGCCAAGGAAGGCCACGGCAAACCACTTCTGCTTCTCTCTTGCTTGGATGGGGTTGCCATAAGTCAGCTGTGACTCGGCAACACATTCTTCCTTCTTCTCTGTGCCATGCCGTGTAAGTTGCTATGTTTTCCCCAACAATTTTTTTTTAAATGAAGCACGTGAATGGAATTCCCTATCGAGGAAGTCTGTTAGCAACCTGCTTATCCCACAGACTTGCGTGTAATTTCCCTTTTGATGGGGAAACAATCATGCACATGTGGACTATATCTGAAGCACCCACATCACATGTTACCTTAAACTTGCAAGGGAAAATTATTCTGCTGCTCCAACACACGGAGAGGATCCTGGGCCAAGCGTGTACTGCGAATCAGAACTCGGAAACCCCACTCAATACCGAGTTAAAGCAAAGCAAAGCACACACACACACACAAATTTGACTCTCTTAAAAAGTTTTTCTGTCAGAAATACATACATGTACACAGAGATTCTGCTCCCCTCGAAACAAAGAGCAGTCCAGATATCAATTTACAACATTTATAAAAAGGCACTGCTTGTTTAATATGAAAAAATCCACCTATAATGAAAGTGCTGATATGCCTGGACTTCTCCAAGACTCTAAGACCTCTTGTCATGATGGGAAAAGGGACAGATTTGGGCCACAGTCCAAACAAAAGTTAGTTAAGCTTTAGAGAGACTGCAATCCTATGCATAGTTGTCTGGGAGTAAGTTCCACTGAACTTGGTTACTTCAGATTAAACACATTTAGGATGGGGCTGCACATCCCACAGAAACCAACAAGTCACATTAGTAATAGCAACTGTGTCCCCTTAATTTCAAGATGGACTTAGGTGCAACTCTATTTCTCAGCACTGAGGCCACTTGTTTCATTATTATATAAAGGCATATATTCATATATTACACCTTTTTTATATCTGTGTCATTTTTGAAATTAGGAATAGTGTTTTGCAATGGGACGGTAACCATGTTTCCTTCGAAGCCAGCCCCCACCAGATTCAACAGGACTTACTCCCAAGTCAGGATGCATACAGTCCCGAGGATAAGGAACATCATTTCAACTTTTCTGAGAAGCTGTATGCTCTCAGAAGATTTCTTTTTTTAAAAAAATAAAATAAAAATAAAACACAAAAAGGTATTTAAAAAAAGACACAAAATGGTTTTATAACGTCAACCAACGGGGGCAAAACTAGGGGACAGTGGTAAAAAAACTCTGCCTTGACTAAGATTATGCGAATTGCAGCATTGATGCAGCAGGGCCGCGTTGCGTCGGCTTTGACCGCTCCTGTTTTCCTGCAACAGTTTAATAACCCCCCGGTTCCAGCTTCTATGATCCTAATGGATAAAATGTAGTCAAACGCTATCATGCATTTCTGTCGATATCCTTACGGTAACTCTCTGGAAAAGAAAGGAAACAAGGACAGACAAATATCAGAAACTTTTCACCAAAGCAGTCACTTCGCAGGAAGAGGCAGGGAAATGACAAAAAGTTTCCTTCATTTAATGCGATCGAGGACTGCTGAGGACCCAACCATAGACACAAGCTGACAAAGCCAATAAAACTGGTAGACTAATCCTAAAACATGAGAGCTGTAATTCAGAGGCCTTCACATGCAAGGGGTCCCCCGCTGAAGATTTGCAGCTAGCAAAGTGGGCTGTGGACAGATAATAATCATTCACAGGCTGCAAGGCCCCTGAAAATCATGGTACCTTGGCCCCACTAATTATTTCCCTGTCATGCAAAGGCCTGTGGCGAAGCATGTTTTGCACATTTTTGAGGCTCTAAAGAAACACCCAAGAAAGCTCCACTTGTACTTGTGGAGTTGGTGCTCTAAGACAACATCTGCTGTCTTGGACACATATTACATTAATTCCCTAAATAATCTACACTGGGCCAGTTCACATTTATGGTGGACTTTGTTGTACAAATAGATTCCCAGTCAAAATTGGAGTCAAAATGAGGAGGAAAATCTTGTGTTTAATTGCAATCAGACACGGAAAACAGTTAGGCCAGATAGCCCACCAAAATTGACTACTTTCTGAGCACAACCAGGAAATACATGAAGTTTTATACTTGAAATGACATCATCATAAAAATAATATTAAAAAGCATAATTGGTTACAAGAAAATTAAACATCATTTGAATAAAAGGTCCCTTATTGGTTAAATGTAAGGAAAGGTGCGTCTGTACAACAGTGTCAAGTGTTTACTTGACCTAACCTGAATAATATTGACCAAGGATTCTTCATACCCAAACAAAGGTGTTTTTCTCTGAAACGGAGCGAAAAATCCTTTTTGACCCAGACACTGCGAAGTTGTAACCTAAACAGTTAAAAAGCATGAACCTTATACCTCCTTCTGTACCAAAAGAATACTATTGTCTTGTCTACTAACGTCAGCTGGAAAAATACCCTGACCTACAAAGAAAGGCCTTCTATATAACAGGCCTTCATTACATCCTAATAAAATCTTATTAAGAATAAATCTATAAAACCAAAGAAATATGAATAATTATGAATAATCAAAAAAGGGGGGGAAATCGTCATAATCTCATCTATACTACAACTTCACACATATGTCTCGGAAGTGCCAGTTTGATAGCAGTGAGTGTGTGTGTGTATATGCAGCTCTTATGATTTCTGTGCTCATAAAACTTTTTAGGGGCTGCTGTGACTCACACAACTGTGTGTACAGCTAGTTCTCAAAATGGCACTTGTCAGAACCGCTGGCGAGGGGCCCAGTGGCCAGCAGCTTCCACATGTTCCTGAGGCACTCATCTGGAGGGGGCCCCCTGTACATAACCAGCTCCCCTGGTATATTTAATGTTGGTTACCCAAGGATACTCTCAGTTGTTCTCTTGGTAATAAAACTGCATTTATCACCAACATACTATTGGGAAACCTGGGTGGCAGAGTGATGAGAGTGTCAGAACAGGACTGGGGAAAATGGGGTGTGAGTCTCTGCCCTGCCAAGAAAGCTTGCCGTGTGACCTTGGGTCTGTCATATTCTCTCAGTCTCACAGGGATGTTGTGGTGAGGATTTATTTATTTATTTATTCAATTTATACCCCGCCCTCCCCGCGAACGGGCTCAGGGCGGCTTACAACTTGGCACTAGTTGCCGATAAAACCATATAAATCATTTTAAAACAATACAACACAGATAAAATCATAGAATAATAAGGTGCTAGTGATCACACATTCCATTGCTTGCAGTGGCATACTGAGGATGTTTACAGCTGATAAATTCCAGTTGTGGTCTTCCTGATCACTCGATGGAATGAGCCAGATGTTAAAGCTAAGGGCCGGGCTTCGTTGATGGTAACAGTGGGGGCGATACCTAGTTGAACGCCTGGTGGAAGAGCTCCATCTTGCCGGCCATGCGAAATTGCAAAAGATCCCGCAGGGGCCTGATCTCTTCTGGGAGCTCATTCCACCAGTAAGGAGCTGCCACTGAAAAGGCCCTGCCCTAGTCGCGGCGAGCCTGGCATCCTTGGGACCCAGGAGGGTCAATCAGTTCAGTGACCCCGACTGCAGTGCTCTCTGGGGTATATATGGGGAAAGGCGGTCCCTCAGGTATGTCGGACGCTGGCTATATAGGGCTTTAAAGGTAAGCACCAGCACCCTGAAGCGAATTCAGTATGCTATTGGCAGCCAGGGAAGAGCCTTCAGCGCAGGCTGGGTGTGCTCCCATCTAGGTAAGCCCAACAACAGCCTGGCTGCAGCATTCTGCACTAGCTGCAGCCTCCAGATTTGCGACAAGGGCAGCCCCATGTAGAGAGCGTTACAGTAGTCTAGTCTCGAAGTGACCATCGCATGGATCACTGTGGCCAGGTCGTTGCGGTCGAGGAAGGGCACCAACTGCCTAATCAGCCGGAGATGGTAAAACGCTGACTTAGTAGTGGCTGCTACCTGGGCCTCCATTGTTAAGGAGGAATCCAGGAGCACACCCAAACTCCTAACCTCCGGTGCTGGCACCAATGGTGCCCCACCAAAGGACGGGAGTGGGGTACCCACCTGCGCACGACCCCGACCCACACACAGGACCTCTGTCTTCACCAGATTCAGTTTCAGCCGACTTAGCCTGAGCCAACCAGCCACGGCCTGTAGCTCCCGGTCCAGATCTTCAGGACTGGAGTTCGACTGGCTGCCCAACATCAGATAGAGCTGGGTGTCATCAGCGTACTGGTGACATCCCAGCTCATACCTCCAGGCTATCTGGGCAAGGGGGTGCATATAGATGTTAAATATCATCGGGGAGAGCACTGCCCCTTGAGGCACTCCACACTCCAGCGGGTGCCTCTTGGACTGCTGCTCCCCTAGCGCCACCCTTTGTCCCCGACCTTGGAAAAGGGAAGCAAGCCATTGCAAGGCTACCCCCTGGATTCCCATGTCAGCGAGACGGTGCAGCAGCAATTGATGGTCAACCGTGTTGAACGCAGCCGACAGGTCCAATAACAACAGTACCATCAAACTGCCCCGATCCAGATGCCTCCGGAGATTGTCAGTCAGAGCGACCAGTGCTGTCTCCGTCCCGTGTGGATTAAGTGGAAGAGGAAAGAATGATGTGATAAGCTGCCTTGGGTTCCCATGAGGTTGAAAAGTGTGATATAAATGCAAAAATAAGTAGTGGTTATCTGAAAACCAGCGGGAACAAAAGGTACATAGTTCACTATAATGCATTTGCTCCTTCACTTTTGAAATTGGAAGCAGGAAAGATTGGATTGGGCTGCAAAAGGGAAGAGTATCTCTGGTGTGCAGAAACATATTCTCCCTTCCATAACCACTCATTTTCTCAGGTATTCTGCTTTTAAGGAGCATTAAAGAACATTACATGAGTGGAAGCGGGGGAACAGTGGGGAAGCTGTTGCACAGAAGAACCTCTCTGTGTACGTCTTTCTTTTCTATCCTTAGAGCTCTGATTAGGATACCCTAAAAGTTAAGAAGTGTTCAGACATATGTATCCCTCTGTAAAAAGCCTATGTGTATATGTTATAGTGAGATGTCTGCTATCTGACTGTGTTCACATGTGAACGATAACAACCCCAGACATTTTGTGGGTATCCAAAAGTTCAAACACACACCCCAATGAAATGATGCCAATAATCTAAGTGGGATTGTCAGTATTTTCTTACGTGTGTCTGAAAAGGAAGAAATATTTTGGAGCATCCCTAAAATTCATCTGGTATTGTCAACATCATAAGTGTTAACATCCAACACATTTTGGACATCCACATTACCATATACATGTCCAAGTGTCTATGATGTCAGGCGTACTATAAATCAGGACTTAGACTGTATTCTATGCATCTGTGTACATGAAACCTAATTGATAACATTGCCAAATAAGTCTTGCCCCTTTGGTGGTGGAAAGTGCCATCAAGTCACAGCCAACTTATGGCCACCTTATAGGGTTATCAAGGCAAGAGACAAACAGAGGTAGTTTACCATTGCCTGCCTCTGTGTAGCAACCTTGGACTCCCTTGGTAGTCTCCCATTCAGATATTAACCAGGGCTGACCCTACTAATGATGTGATTGGGCTAGCCCTTGCTTTCCGTGGCACAGATATAAATAACATCATCAGGTACATAATATCCCATTAAGCCTCTGTTAAAGGGCCAGGATATTTTTTTCTCTGGACAAATGGCAACCTTACTATTCAAACAGCACTGGGTAATCTTAAACTGAGATTTATTTAAAATTGAACACGTGCAATTCAGTACTGGTCTTTTGCTCCCCCTCCCTGCTACTCCGAGATGGAATGCCCAACTGGAATTCAGATATAAATAGTTCAAACTCCTTTACCTTAAAGTGCAACCACCTGTTCATCATACCCACCTGAAACTCCTTGATGAATGTTAAGAAGTAGAAAACAAAACCAAAGGCTACTATCCATTCGCAGACTGCGCTCACAAAATGATACATGTAATCCTAACAGAAAAGGAGAAACAGGAGAAATAATAAAGATAAAATACTACCAATCTGAAATGGCAAACAAAAGGTGAGTCACACAGATACTTAATATAGGCCAGGAACACCCTTGTAGGAGAGGTTTTTTAATTTTGAAGAACTTAATTTCTTGTTTCTTTTTCTCTATTTAAATCATTAAAGAGTAAGCTTCTTAGAGTAATAAAAACCTTTACAAAAAGAATGAAGATGATACAATAACACTTCCTTAACTGTTTCCAAATGGGGGCAGGAAAAGCCACCTTCCCTATGGAAGCAGCAGCAAGTGGGGTGCAGGCATTGTGGGGGGGGATAGTATCCACATGCCCCACACTGCTTGCTGCTCTCCCCACCTCCCCACCGCCTCGCCTTCATGTCGGAGCACCAGCAGCAATGGTCCCCTTAGCTGCACAAAGCTGGTGGGTCACAAACTGTAGAGGCAGCTTTGCATACGGAGAAGAAGCAGAGTAAATACAGGAATGCATGCAGTTGCTTGATGGTGAGACACCCACAGATCTAGTTCAAGAGATGTTGGTGCCAAACCCTAACCCTAACCCTAACCCTAACCCTAACCCTAACCCTTTCCTTATGGAGATGTATGGAGTGGGGAATATCTCTGCAATTAAATGGGCTGGAGACTTCGTTTTTTTAAATGAGAGCTGGGAACTCAAAGAACCTGATGCATATTTTGGTATAATGGCATAATGCTATTAAATTGCCAATTAAAAAAAAAAAACCTACCAGGGAAACCTGCTGTGTGGAAGCCCTGTCACCACCACTGTACTGTCTTAGCAGCCATAGCAGCAGCAGGGAAACTACTCGAGCCTTTGTCCCCATGTAGAAAACACCACAAAGGTGAAAAGTCTTGCTTTACTTGCTGATCTAAAAAGCAGTAGGCAAGCTGATGGAATAAGTAAGCAGGACAGCAGGGGAAAGATGGGATGAATACACCTTTGTTGGTCTTAAAGGTGCCATTGGACTCTAAATTTGTTCCACTGCTTCAGACTAACATGGCTGATTACCTGGATCTAAAATTAGCCGAATTAATTGGGGGACTACATCCCCCTTCATCCAGTAATTGTTACACTACTGCACATGCACCCAGGTTGCTTGCTTCAAAAACAAGCAAGCAGATTCTCAGTTTAACCCGTCACTGGCTTGGTTCTTCCATCTCTGGGCAGGGATATTTCCACCAGTTCTGTACCCCACACACACTGCAGATCCACACTTTGTCCCATGCTGTTCTCGAGTGTCTGCTGACCCCCAAGGAACAGAACTTCGGGGTTCTCAGTGAGCTGCAGCGGTACAAGGAAGTGGAAAGTCCCATTCCACAAATTCCGTTCTGCAAGTGAATCTCACGGGATACAGGCCACTAATATTAACTTGTCTGGATGTGAAATGTTCCTTCTCAGTTGAGAGACATTTATATGACCATAACAAAACTGCACAGCTGCTTTCATCAGCTATCTAAATTCAAAATGGCTCCTGTCCTGAGTAACCTATGTGTAATCATGTAATCAGCTTGCTGAAAGAACCTCTCTGTAGCTTCCAGGTCACCAGTAAGTTTTATTATCACCTGCTCTGCACAGCTAACATTACATAGGACTGAGTGCTATAGCTAACTTGCAGAAGGATTAAAATTTTTACCTAGTGAGGTTTTACCTTTTCACCTGGATTCCAATCTATTTTTGTTATGGAAATTAGTGAAGCGCATGCAATCACTGGAGAAGCAGACGTTAAAGAAAACAGTTATGGTAATACTTCACCTCTCCCCACTGCACTGCATCTTTCTGAAATCATGAAGGCAATATATATGTTCTTCATATAAGGGAATGGAATAGTCAGAAAGGCTCTAACATTTGAACACAGTGTGAATTATAAACATGTTCGTCACTACCACATGATTCTACAGCCAGTTCTGCATTTATGCAATCATGGATGTTCAGTGGACTATAATGCCAGGAAGTTACCCAAATGAGAGAAACATCGTCAGCAATCTACCCAGATTATGAAATATCTCAAGATTATTTCTCCAGCCATGGGTTTTTAAATTCAACAACAGATTGCTGAGTATTCTTATTTTTAAGAAGTTAAAGTTCTCTAAACTTACATGTACTGAAAAGTGGCAAGTAAAATGCTACTTACTCCAGGACCTTTCATGACTATCTAATCTATAAACCACATCAATATATCTCATTCTCAATGTGGCCAAATCTGTGGATATTTAAATCTAGAGAATGCAACCATGAACAGACAAGATGGATCTTTTGACAGACTTCGGAAAAGCCCTAGGTTGTGGTCTTAAAAAAACCCATGGGGGTTAAAATGCCACAAATTAAGAGACGCAGTGCCAGTAGCTTTAAGAAACATATGCCCTCAGTGGCTGTTGCTATATAACCACAATAGTACTGCCAGCTGAAGCCTTGGTTTCTGAAAGTAAAAGGCAGGGGGAGGGGACAGGCCCTTTCCAGGGCTGGTTTGGCCTTTGAGGGGAAATCAGGGCTAGGCCTGGCGGCAACCAATGGGCCACTAGATACCATACAAGTTCTGTTACTCCCCCGGGCCTGGCTGCTTGCTAGTTGCTACTGTTCAATAGCAGCCACCCCACGAAAGCTAGTGTGGTGTAACGGTTAGAGTTCCAAATTAGGATTTGAGAAATCCAAATTCTACTCCTCACTGCCATGGATTCTTGCTGGGTGACCCCATGACAGTCAAACTCTCTCATCATAAGCTGCTTCACAGGGTAAGCTAAAATGGAAGAGAATGATGTAAGCTCCTTTGGGTTCCAATGTGGAAAAAGGTGGGGATGAAGTAAATAAAGACAGCTGAAGATAAAAGATAGGTCAGTTGATGGAGGGGAAGGAGAGAAGAAGGGAAAGGTGAGAATATGGGGGTTGCCAGGAGGGAAATAGTGTGGGGAGGGCAATATGAGGTGTTTCCTGCCAGTTCTTGCAGGTTTCCCACCATGCAACTGGGCCTGGTAGCCAGCACTGTACAACTTGGCCAGAGTTTTCCCGGATAGAAGCTGCTAGCAAAAAGAAAGGAGGGGAAGTTGAAGAAAGCGGGGCAGATAAAGGTAGGCTGGCTGGTGAGAGGTGGGAAGGAGAGAAGGAAGCAGGAAAAGGGGAGACGCTATATAGGCTTTCAGGGAAAGGAAAGAGGAAATATTGGGGAGGCGAAAACCACATGCCCCCTGCAAGTCCTGGAGGGCTCCTTGCTTGTAATTTTTAATTCCCAGAAGCCAAAATTCTGTCCCCATAAATGCTTTTAATGTCACTGATACATGCTGCTGTATATGCAGGCATGATGCCCACACAATTTTGCTTCCTTCCAGGAGACTTATATTTGCATGCCATAGCAGATTTCATCCTTGCTAGCCTGACTTCAGAATTGCTACAGTACATACTAAATGTATGAATTTCTTTTGAGGAGTACATTTCTACATCCTCCTCTTTCCTGCAGAAAACAGACTGTTCTTCAAGCTGATTTCTGGATTCTCTGGAAGGTTTACATGAGCCAAGTATTTCTGAAATCATTATCAATGTGGGGAATTTTATGGTTCTTTCTCCCAAACCAACATCTTTACAGCATAATCCTATGCATGTCTACTCAGAAGTAAGTCCCATTATGTTCAGTGACACTTACTTCCAGATAAGGGTGCACAGGATTGCAGTCAATGACTATGTTTACAAATTCCCAGTCTCACATTACTAAAGCATTATGGCAAGAAATCTGGAAAACTCCTGTTTTCCAAACAGTTTGCTTTAACTTTAAGGAAGATGAAATACAGGGGATTAAACATGTTTCATACATAGTAAAAACATGACAACAGCTGAACTCAAGATGAATGGGAGTTGTCATTAAGCTATGTTATTAATGGTCTAACAATATGAGAATATGAGAACAATTGTGTAATTAGCATACAATAACACTCGAAAAAGGATACTGGGGATGGCAGCTACAAAGGCCATTAGAGAAAGGGCCAGTCGTATGTGACATATACAAAGAGTGCTCCACTGAGGACGTGACTTGTAAGAGATGACAGTCTGAAGGATAATGTACAGAACGCCAGATAGAAAAGCCACAAGGGCTCCTCCGTCGTGGACAGCAGGTACCGCTAGCTCCTGAAAAGACAATTGGGAAATAGTTACTTACTAATGCACACCAAAACGAGACTGGGACTGTGGCAAACACAGGGCTAAACTGCAAGGTTACTACCAGTCTTAACATAAAGAGGTTATAAATTTAACAAGCAAGTTGATGGTGTAGGTTTCAGAGATATCCCATATCTGACGCAATGATTCTCCCCTGAGTTCCTCCAACAAGGATTGCTGCCTTTTGGAACAATAAAAATGGGGGGGGGGGGAAAAACACTTTTTATCTTCAGCTGTGGGTAATCCACATATAAAAAAATCAGTGGTAGCAGACTCTATATCCTACAATGGCAGTACAGTTGCCACCTTTGGACATGAGAAGCATAAGAACAAGCGTTGAAAGATGAGGTGCACGCATGCATGCTGCAGAACTGTATTAATTGAACATGACCAAATAAACACACAGATCAACTAAGCCCTGTGCAGATGTGAGATTAACTTTCTAAGGATCAATGGTAACAGAGCTAATCAGAAATACTCAACAGGGCATTTTGCATGAATTCTAGAAACTGGAACTTAGTTTCATGGTAGCTGAGCAGAAATTTGGAGTGAATGCCACATCTGACCTAAAAAACTGGTCCCAACAAGTAATCGGGAAACTTCTTTGGAAAGAAAGGGCAAATGATTTCTTTCTTTTTAAAAATTTTTTATTACAAGGGGTACAGAAAAAAAGGAGGAATGGGGAAAAACAGAAAGAAAATATAATTACCAAAAAACCCAGTGTGAGGGCAATTTTACAGAAATTAAGGACATTCCTTTCTCAATATATATAAAAATTATTTATTTAAGTTGTACCCTGCCCTCCCTGCCGAGGCAGGCTCAGGGCGGCTTACATAATATATATACAGGTAAAGGTAAAGGTTTCCTTGCTTGAAAGCCAGTCGAGTCTGACTCTAGGGTTGGTGTTCATCTCCATTTCAAAGCCGAAGAGCCAGCGCTGTCTGAAGACGTTTCAGTGATCATGTGGCTGGCATGACTAAACACCAAGGCGCACAGAACGCTGTTACCTTCCCACCGAAGTGGTACCTATTTATCTACTTGCAATTTCTTGCTTTCGAACTGCTAGGTTGGCAGGATATATATGTATACATTAAAAAGTATATGGTATAACAGCTTAACAAATGTTTAACAAGATATATATGGTGTAATGGCATAAGAATATAGATTAAAAGGGCAAATGATTTCTTATTTATCTTATTTGTTTCGGCTTTCATTCACATGTAGGGATTTTCGAAAAAAAACCCGTTCATTTAAGGACCATTTCTCTATTCCTCTCAGGATTACTTTGGGACGATGTTTATACAAGAAATCTAAACCAGTTTTATTGCACTCCCTGCTCCTCACATTCCAAGAATATTAAGAGCTCCATAGCAGTATTTCCAAAACAGAATAACTGCAAAGGATCCTTGGGGCAACCCCAGTAGAGCAACAAGTTTAAATATGTAGATGAATTAATTTCTTTTATCTCAAATAATAATTTAAATATCTGAACTTGGCCAGCAACAAGCTGCTTCCTGCATGTAGCTGTATCATTAGTTAATCTTGGTTTTATTTACAAGAAATGTAGTTCTGCTTATTTCATGATTTGTGACTGAGTTTATACAACAGTTCATACTTTGTTTTTGGAGACAGCTCAAAAGAGAACACATATTTACAGATTATTCATTCCTGCTCTAAATGTCAACCAAATCCAACTGTATTTTGCTTTCTTCATGACCTCTTACAAACGGTTCCAGTCATTCTAATAAAGAAGCTTTCTGTAGCCTTGCTATTCAAGACGGAATATACAATTATAGCAGGTTATGCATGTTAACTATTCGAACAAGAAATTATTGATGTTCTTGTCTGAAAGCTTTTCTCAGCTCCCAACCCCCAAAGCATTACATCAATTACCCTGTACTTTGGTGACATATTAAACCATTGGAATACTTCGGATTAGGCAAGAAAATCTCTCGGGGGGAAACAACCACAGGAATCATAAGTTCTTGTAAGATGCACAGCCTTCAGATAAGTCAAAGTTCCATTTTTAGAGAAGAATGAAAACTAGTAACCATAATGTAATTGCAGACTGCAACCAGTCATTTAAACATGCTATCTGGCTGCTTTGAGCAAATTATTTCATAAGAAAACGATGCTCCATGAGATACAGTTCCTCCCTCACCTTAAGGAAAAAAAATTCAAATGGATTTCTTAAGATAGTTTCTGCAACACTATCACTGACTGACCCAGGAACAGAGTAGAAACTGCCCAGTAATTGGTTTGGATCACTGTTGTTCCTCATTCCCGAGCTCATGTTGTGTTTTAGAACAGATATCTCCAGGCAGAAGGGACTGAAAAGCAATCAGGAAGCTTTGATGTATTAGGCTTTCCCTTCCTGCCTCAAAACCATCCACGTAACTCCAGCACAAACAAAACAACACGGAAGAGGAATGACATTTTGTTTGCCATCACACATTTTATGCCAATTGAACAAAATTAGTGCTTGTAGATTAGCCATGGATTTGTGCTTAAAGTTTTTGGCTTTCTAAATCAGATGATGCGACTTCAGTTCCTCACTTTTTAGCCTTTCTCTGAGGAACTTCTCCATCTGTACAGTGGGAGCAATAGCCTCATTTTCTCTCCTTTTCTACTTGACATGTAAACTTTTGCACAGGTCCACATGCCAATAAACATTTAAGACTGGACTCCACTAAGCATGGATTTTAAAGAAAATAAAAGAAAATGGTAGAACGTGACAGAAGGGAAGGAGGATTCTACCTGTATTCCTGCTAATTTCATACATAGCTGTGCATTAATTACTAAAGAAAACTTATTCTAGTAACATGTTCTTCACCGATACATAAATGTTTTACTGAAATGTTTTACTACAATTAAATTTAGTCCTTGTTCAGGAATCAGCTGCCAATTCTAACCCAACAGCCAGAAGTCTACTGGCGGTGGTGGAAAGTGCCAAGTCACAGCTGACTTATGGCGCCCTCTGGTGGTGTTTTCAAGGAGAGAGATGTTCAAAGGTGGTTTGCCATTGCCCGCCTCTGTGTAACGACCTTGGATTTCCTTGGTGGTCTTCCATCCAGGGCCAACTCTACACAGCTTCCAAGATCTGAGGAGACTGGGCTATCCAGGACCATAAACCTGTCACACTGCATCATTTCTAAGGGCCAAAGCAGATGTAACGAAGATCACAGACCTCCATTAATCTGTAAAACATAAATAGCAACCACACTCAGTCCTGGTCTGGATTAGGGCTACATGGGGAGGAGAGACAGGACTTAACCATTCAGTGCCCCCCTCCCGCTATTAGCACTTGAAAGGAAAGAAGGGATTTTTTTAGGTCCAGTCTTTTTATGTGGGGCTGCTTGGGAAAGATGGCTTGGAAATGTCTGTTTCACATAGAAAGTATAGAGACCACAATATGCAGGTCTTGAAATAATAGTTACCATTAATGTTTCTGGGCATAATGCAAAGCACAGGTACTCTGGAACAGCCTTGGTTTGGGAGGAGGAAGAGGAAGAGGAAGAAGAGGAAGAGGAGGAGGAAGAAGAAGAAGAGGAGGAAGAGGAGGAGGAGGAGGAAGAGGAAGAAGAAGAGGAGGAGGAGGAGATTGGATTTATACCCCGCCCTTCACTTGAAGTCACAGAGCGGCTTACAAACTCCTTTCCCTTCCCCCCTCCCCACAACACACACCCTGTGAGGTGGGTGGGGCTGAGAGAACTCTGACACAAACTGCTCTTTCAGGAACAGCTGTGCCAGAGTTTGTGACTGACCCAAGGTCACATCAGCAGGTGCAAGTGGAGGAGTGGGGAATCAAACCCGGTTCTCCCAGATTAGAGTCCGCGCACTTAACCACTACACCAAATTGGCTCTCAAGCTTCTTCACTTCTTCAATTTTATTCTGTGGAGCTCGGGGCAGCGCATGTGTCCCTCTCCCCTGAATTTTGTTCACAAAACAATCTTGCAGTTAAATGAGGTTGAAGGGCCTTCCACACGCACAACTTATTACCACTTTTCTCAACAGTCAGTTTTCTAACCTTTGGAATAGAGCACAGGGGAGCTACGTGTCTTCTGTCCCTACGCATTTTTCATGTTGCTGCAGCAGTTTATTTTCTTACACGCGTGTTTTTAAAAAAATAAGGATTTTTGAGCAAGGGTGTTTTTGTCAACACTAACATCACAGTGGCAACCCCTCCTTTTTTGCTTTTTCTTGCGCATGTGCCAGAAGGCTTCACATGTGCATGTGTGAGAATTACCATAATGTTCCTGTAGAAAAGTGCCTTCCACTCAAAGGTCCACACCAATATTTGAACATTTGAAGCTGCAATTTGGGTTTTAAACGTTTTCCTGTCAACAAATAGCAGGTGGAGAGAGGCCAATTGTTCCCATCTAGTCAATTGCTTTCAAGAGGTAAATGGCCAAGAACAATGAGGAGGGGCTGGTGAGGCTCCTCTGCAACAGTCCCCACCAGAATAGAAAGTGATAACACATACCCCCCACCCCTTTAAAAAATCAAATTCCCATTTAAAACATAGTGGGGGGGGCACTGGAGAAAGCCTGGCGCACTGTGGTTGCACCTCAACTTTAATCCGGTGTTCCTTGTGCTGGGGAATGTCAATCACATATCCCCTGGTAACTGGGTGGGGCATGCGATCACCCCATTGCCAATTGTCCAGACTTGGCTGCCTTTTTTTCTGAAAAGTGTCCCGTGCCCGCATGCACATAAGTGTAATCAATCAATCAATCACTTTATTACAACAGTCAGTGACCAGCAGTACAGTTTGATTGAGAAATGCAAAAGCCAGCAACCAGTAATACAGTTGGGTTGAAAAATTTTTAAAGAGATAAAATTAAGTCTTAAAAACATACAAAACCGTGCCAAATAACTACAAAGTCATGCCGCCAAAAGGGATTTTTGATGCTTGTAAACCTGAGCACAGAATCTAGCTACCTGTTGAGTAGTCTGGCGGTTTCTATCT